AAAAAAAAAAACTGTTCCGTTACCTTATAAAATCCTGTAGCTGTTTGCATTTTTTTTTTCAAAAAAGGAATTGAAATTGAAATTTTTGCAGCATAACTGCACTCCTTCTGCGGCGACCAATTTTTTTTTTGCAGATTTCTTTTATCTTCTCTCGACCTACAGGATTAGTCAAACAATTTTAAGGGGTTTTTTTTTACTTGAAGACTTTGATTTTTCCGCATTTGTTTTCGCCACCTGTTGTTGTTGTTGTTGTTTCTATTGTTTTTCTTGCTGTTTCTGTTCTTCATTATAGTTTCTGAAAGGAAGAAAAAAAGTGAAAATTTACTGAAAATCAACACTTAATCAGCGGCGAAAAAAAGTTCTTGCAATACGTGTACAATGATCAGTGCCTTTAGGTTATTGGTGATGCATCAAAATTTGTAGTTCTTTCTCACTTTGCCACGGCCAAAAGGGAAAAATTGAAAAATGAGGTGTATAAAAGACTAAATGTTTTTTGAACTTATTAACCTGTCAATAAGTAAATATCGTTCTTTAAGAATTTATTTTTACCATAAAACCTGAATTTATATATTAAGTTCAGCAACTAAAAACACTTTCAGCTTTCCCCCACATGGTCAAAAACCTATCAGCTCCATTACTTTTCCATCAACTCTTCACTGCTTCCAAAGATTTGAATAATAAATTGTCCAAATTTACTGCACTAACATTACAGTTCAGAAAACATTTAAAAATCAAAATTTCAAAACTAATTATTTCTGATGGTAATACGTGAAGAGCAGAAATAACTATAGCTGTAACCTGAAAACCAAACAGTTTACTACTCGCCAACATATTCCTACTCGCCAACAATAAAAATCTTATGCATCCATTTAAAAAGCCGTAGAATCAAATGTAAAAGCTGACAGAGTTTATCCAAACAATCAAAAAATTGCCAAACTTTTATCACTGAAAACTGTTACCTATTCTCTTTAGTATAACCTATCCCTTTACTTTTGTCCACTTTTCTTTTCTCTTCTTAATCCTAAAAAAAAACCGGAAACAAACGACCAGAAATGAATCACAAAATAAAATTAATCTTTCGGAAGGTACCGTTGACTGCTTGACTTTTTAGCAAAACATGAAGGAGTAAAAAAACTAGTTGTGTAAATGTCATATCCAATCACTAATGTTAATAAAATAGTGATGCGGATATGAATAGCTGCTGGATATCAGTGCCACAGGTGAATTAATGCACATCTATTTCAACTCTACAGAATCTCTGATATCATTTCTCAAAAATTCCAACGTCCTCTTTCTTCTCTTTGAAAATTTGATCGTTTTTTTGTTTTAAGTCGGTTACTAAAATCCTTTTCTAACTAATTTGCCGTAGCATCTCCCATCATTTTCTCTTTTTTCTTTTTTCTGTATATCACCAGAAAGGGAAAGGATATCTGTATTAAAAAATACTTGGCCTGCGTATAACGCCCTATCATTTTTAAGCAACTTAAAAAAAAGTGCTGAGATCACATTTGGAACTATTGTCTACTCTAAAAAGAAAGGAAAGTAAGAGAAAAAAGTACAAACAACCAGAACAAGGAAGACGTTGCATATAACCAATAATGTAAAAACAAAAAAAAGAGTAGCAAATAAGTATGAAATCCAATGAAGTGACAAAACTGAACATTTCGACTAATATCAGAAAGTTGTCCAATCAACAGTAGCAGAAACGCAAGTGTTACATACATTAAGATGTAGTTAAATACACTACGGCGTAATAGGATTCACATGTGATGTCTTCAACATTTTGTTCAAGTAGTATAATTCACTTGGTTTTCGAGCAGAATATTAAATATTCAAAACTATATCAATATTCAGCTTGAAAACCAAATGAATTATACTACTTGAACAAGATGCTGAATACACCATAAGTAAATCCAGTTACACTTTAATGCAATTTTGGTCTCATTTATGATCCTTTTGACTGTAACCATTTTTGGCGCAACGACAGGATCTTTGCTGTAGTAAATGACTGTCCACTGTGACATGGAGTCATGGTACAGGTGGCATCACATGGATTTGGCATATATGGCGAACAGCAACAGTAGCATTTTTTCCCGATGCTGTAAATATAACTTTTCAAATCTGTTACACAACTTAAAATAGTTATTTCTCTTCTCCTTCTTTTCTTTTTCTGATCCTAATCTTTGCCTTCCTTCTACTTCAGTAATGTAGCATTAAGCCTTAGAAAACTGACTTTTAACTTTGACTACTTCTAAAGCTACTTTAGCTTTATATTACAATGTTTATTAGTTACATTACTGTTGCAGATGAAATAAGGCAGCACTTACTTGATGCAGTTCACTGGTTTCAGATTCCACAATGTTTCACGCACTGTTGGTGGTACTAACGGACCGAAGAATTCAACGGCAGTTGTGAATCTAAAATCAGACTTGTTCTATAGAATCCACGAAAATAGCATGAACTTTTGACCCACATTAAAAATTTTTGTAAACAGTACAATGATATTGAAAATAGAGCAATACAATTAGCATCAGTACTTTGGTGGCCAGACGTGGCATAAACCCGAACGTGAATCATAAGCTTGTGGAGTCATAGCACATGCTTGACTTTCAGTAGGCAAATCGCAGAGCTTGTCAGCTATTCCAAACGGATTCCCCCTGCAATAAACAACATTATTAAAAAGTTAGCTTTTAAAACCCAAAACAGAACTGTGCAATAAAAAAATAGCATGCGTTGGTCAAAAACGTGAAATATTTGTCAACCTTTAAAAAAGGTAGGCTGTGAAAAAGCGTGACTAAAAAAACCTGAATTTCAAGCTATCAACCGCCCATATAGTTGGACAGGTGTTTACCAATTCAATATAAGTAAGTGAAAGTGTAAGTGTATTTGGATACAAATGTCTATCAAAAAAGTTTTTTCCGATTGCAGATCATAATTTGAAAATGAAAACTAAAGTGATCTTTAACGTTTGGGATATTGTAAAGGAAAAGCTCCCATACTACAAACCCCGCATCGTTTAAGATTGTGCTTAGCACCGCAGTAACTTCCTTTAGTTCATTCGCTGCGTTAAAATCTCTAAAATGAAAACTTTTTTCTTTTAGCCACACATTCATTGTTTCTCAGAATCATCAAAAAAATTTTATTTTTTGAGATCCACGGGTAAAGAAAATACAGTAGTGACCATTCAAATCCATTCCTGAACGGATATCTAGATAAGCCTATATTTATAAATACCATTTAGTTTTACTTCCTTAAATAACAGGAAATAATTAGAGCAAGTGATGAATCAAGGTCAAGAGAAAAAATCGGGTGACCTCCTTTGTCCTTCTTTACCTCAACCGTTGGGGCACTTTTATTCTTCTTGCTCAACCTTTGAAATTTTGTTCCATGGGGATTCTCATAAAAACAACACGCTGAGAACATCAAACTCCTCCACAGTGAGTTCTAGTAGGTCAAGTATAGAACTTTGATGAACAATGCTTACTTTTTTTAATGAAGGAAAAATTTATTGAGTATACGGGCAACGAAAGCCACAGTTACTGCTTCATCAGATGCAGAAGAAGATTAAGGAGTGCTGTTTCATGATGCCAGTTTTTAAAACTTATTTTTGCTTAGAAAACAAAGCCGAGTGAAGTTTCTTAAAATAAACTTCTCATGCCAATACGCAGTAGTTTAAATTTAATAATATTTATGAGTAATAAATTTAACTAACCCAACAATATTTGTACAACTTGGACTGCACGACACCTGTATATTGCACATTCCGCAGGCATCCGCTGATTTGTTGAACATCTCTGCGTAGTTCATGATCTTCTGGACAATCGGGTTTCCAACTCCGGTGATCAGCTAAAAATAAGTTTTTTAGGCTATTTTACTACCACTTCTAATAGGTGATCAAAAGAAAATTTACAGCAGCAAACTCTTTTGATGCTTGAGAAAATTAAATTAATGTTTTAAACAATGAGAGTCTCTGTTGATATTTCAACAACCGGCAGTTCTGATCCAGGTTAACATTTCATTATTGTATCTTAACAACACTAATTATTAGAAAAGCTGATTAATCTGACTTTATGATATACCAAGTACTAATTTTAAGACAATTTAGTATACTGCTGCACATAAAAACTAAAGCAGCTAAGTGAATGTTAACAACAAACTACGTCATACTATTTTCAATCTTATCCAGATAGGACCTGCTAAACTACTTCAAAAAAGTACAAAATTTACAACTTTTTCATTACAACTTTTCGACTTCGCCAAATGTTATAAATTACAATAGAGAAGCTTACTGCTATCACAGACAAATTACTAGCACGAAGAAATATATAATAATTTAACTTACAGACATGAACTTGTTCCGATAGCATTGCTGCGGAAGGCGATACCAAAATGTACGATCACTAGTACTAAAACACGGACTGTACTCACTCCAGTCTTCACAGTTTGAAGACTGGGTTCCAGAAAGACTTGAAAATGCAGATGCCAAGAACGCGTCGCTCAATTTAAATGTAGAAAATAATATGCAAACGATGAAGATTCTGGAAGGCTTATTCAGCTCGACTTGCGTCCACATGTTGTTACTGTTAGATCAAAATCAGTTTAAGACTTGTAATGTGAACGCTTGCTAAAAAAAATTGTAGGTATTAAACAGAGAGATATGAAAAACTTTCATTTTTTGCATCAGTTAAACATTTTTGCTTTATATCACATCTTGTGAAAAAAAAAATTATTTCTTGTTACAATTACTATCTTATCCTTTTGATACAACAGATTTTTGCTTTTATTCGTTCATTCCCTGTCTTTTCTCATTTATAACTAAGATTACAAACGGTTGGTTAGTAATAAACCTTAATTTAGATTAATTTTTCAAAAAGCTTTGCTGTTTGACTTTCTAGTAGAACAATACGACAGAAAAGTAACAAAAGCAGCTCCAAATATTAAAAAATAAATTATTAATGGCAGTTAACATTGCAGTAGTAAATTTGAAGGAAACTTTAGCAGAAGAGCCAAATGGGTGAGAGGAGTTGACGACAGACCGGTTTAATTTATCCTTAAACGCCGCCTGTCATCAAGACCTGTTCTCGGTTGCCCCTATTAAATCTGGTATTTTTGTTTCATAATTTTTTGCTTCTTTTTTTGAACTTTTACCA